TTTTAAAATAGAAATGTCTATAATTTAACTTATAAGTATGACTAACTAAGATCACAAACAACAAATCAGTTGCATTGCAAATGTACATATAGCATGTTTGCACTTACGAGGGAATATTCACTCCCTTTCAGTGAAAGTGTTGGCATGCAGGTCAATTATTGTCACCAAATCATCTGTCATATTCTCTGCATGCAGCTGTAGAATTTGATCAGAAAGATTAGCTACACTATTCTGTGTATAAGTCTTATGTATAAATCTAAGACATTTTGGTTTCTAGTCACCAGTCTATATTTATAATCATTGTAGTGTAAAAAAAATTCTGGTCCATAAGTCGATTGAGACTTTATGTTTTAGTGAAATGTTTTGTTTATTTATTGCCAACTCGCTGTAAATCAAATGTAGTTAAAAATTTCATCACTTTCATTGTGTTTATGCAATTTATTGTTCTTCAATGTCAGTGACATGTATATCATTTTATGATGCACAATCAGTATTATTGTACTAGATTTATACTTTTCTCTTATTGATCTGCATTTTTTGGGGCTAATTAATGTTTAAATCCTACTGTGAACGTCTTCTTTTCACTTGGTGCCAGTGCTTGAAAGAAACCAGCCTGTCAATAATTTTTAAGAAGATGCTGAGATTAGCTTTACATCGTAAAACAAACTGAACACTGTATATAGTATAGCATATCATTGTTAAAGATGTATGTGTGCATGTGTGTTGTATTGTAGATATAATTCTTGTATTACATCATGTATATTTCATAGAAGATTTTGTTAGAAGCTCTGTTTTCATAATTTAATTATTTTCATGTACATAAAGACTTTGATCGTTTGTTTGTTTGTTTGTTGTTTAACATCCCTCTTGAGAATTTTTCACTGATATGGAGACGCCACCACTTGCTGGTGGAGAGCTGCAAATTTTGACCTATACTCGGCACTCAGGGCCATTGAGCAGTGAGAGATCTTTTTTGTGTCAGCACCTACTGTATCACAGGACCTTGGTTTATACAGTCTCATCCGAAGGACTGGTATCCACGTCCCACAGTGGGATTCGAACCCATGGCGTAAGGATCAACTCCTTACTTTGTGACTCTAGAGTGGACGCTCTTACTACTGTGCCACATGGGCAACTTTGTTCGTGGAAATTGGCTGAAGCATTTAACACGAAATTCTACTGATTTTAGGCCTATATAATCCATTCTAATGAAAGATCTAGAAGTGTACACAGAGAACATTGTACTGTAGATTTTATTATTATACCTCTACTGTTATTACTCTATATAAAATTAATACCATAAAACTGTCTATTTCCCTGAGAAGATACTATTTCCCTCATCTGAGGACTACTCCCTGAAAAATCGGAGCTACTCCCTGGGACTACTCCCTCATGAATATTAATAATTTTAACCAATTAAAATGAACAGTGGGCAGAGCGTTCAAGGAATCTCGAGTCTGTGATGTAATGTTATTAGCAATGTAACTATGACGTCAAAACATTTTGACATGCGATGTCAAAATCATACTGAAATATTCTAGCAAAATGAAGGCAACAATAATCCTTCGAAGTGTCAGTGAAATTATTTTATATTTTTTTTAATAATTCTATTTTCCTCGGTATTGATGCATTAGTTATCTTACAATATTTTTGATCATATGCATTTGTGATTATTTAAATACTTCTGTATTGTTTTTAAAAATGTCTGAGTCTCTAGTTTAATAAATCTCCCATGATTGTTTCGGTATAATAAAACAGTTATGGAATGGGTACTTGGGAAATATCAAATTTATGGTTCCCCTCGGTAGGAAACTGTTTCCCTCGGCGGCTTCACCGCCTTGGGAAATAGTTTCCTCCCTTGGGGAACCATAAATTTGCTATTTCCCTCATACCCATTCCATAACTGTATAATATTATGTTGTTTATTATTTGAAGAATTTGATGTAACCTCAGTTACATTACTACATGTTTGTTAGATTATATTTTGCTTCATTAAGAACCTGACTGGGGGATTAAGGGAACTCTAAGTACAGTTGAACTTCAGTATTTTGAACACTGATATCTCAAATACCATGGATAATTCAAAGTGATTTGGAAGTTTCAGTCACTTTTTTGTATTTATATTTCATCACTGGTCTCTCAATTCCTCCAAGTTTCTTCTCAGTTCCGTTGAGTCCAAGGTATCAAAGTTTGACTGTAATTTCATTGTTTTAGGCCTTTATAATTCACTTGCTGAATGATGTAGTAATGTACACAGAAAATACAAAACGGATTGAAAGCAATAAAGTTATGAACTTCTGTAGATTTTCTTGTGTTCATTTTCAGTTCAAATTAAAGAAAAAGGTGGTGATTTTAAAAAAAAAACTTCCTTTTTATACACACGGATTGTGATTATAAAGTGAAATATAAAATACAAATATACTGAGTGGATTGGACAACAGAGTAAGTCTATAATTGCACTGCCCTTAAATGGTGAAAATTGAACTTTGAGAAATCAACACCTCAAGAATGATATGGGAGAATTTAAGAATAAAGATGTAGAAAGCACAGAAAACATGTTCAATGTATTTCGCTTTACAGAGTTTACCTGAACAGACATCTCTTTCATGTCACTATGATGGACTTGGGCGCAACAGAAATGACATCTGTGTGCCTCTGCCACTTCAAGAAAAATAATTACCAAAGATATTCGATGTCAGATGCACTGGTCAATTCATTACAAAGTAAAATGAACATAAATGCACCCTCAATAAAACAAAATGTAAACAAAAAATACATGCACTACACCCAACAGTGACCAGGTTAAATTAGTCAGGTGTGGGTTCCAGTGCTGACATAGGAAACAAGAAAAATAATATGGCTTAATTAAGCCTATTTAAGAGTTGTGTTCAGCTTTAACAAGACCAGTTGTTGCATAAAAAGAACAAGTTGTTTATTCAAAGATATATTTTGATATTTATACTCCAGACACTACTTATCTGATTGGGTTAGGTTTCTGCCTGACTGGGTTAGGTTCTAAATTGACTGTTTTATGATTCTGCCTGAGTGGTTAGGTTCTAAACTGACTGTTTTATGACTCTGCCTGAGTGGGTAAGGTTTCTGCCTGAGTGGTTAGGTTCTAAACTGACTGTTTTATGATTCTGCCTGAGTGGTTAGGTTCTAAACTGACTGTTTTATGACCCTTCCTGAGTGGGTAAGGTTTCTGCCTGAGTGGTTAGGTTCTAAACTGACTGTTTTATGACTCTGCCTGAGTGGGTAAGGTTTCTGCCTGAGTGGTTAGGTTCTAAACTGACTGTTTTATGATTCTGCCTGAGTGGGTTTGGTTTCTGCCTTACTGGGTTAGGTTCTAAACTGACTGTTTTATGATTCTGCCTGAGTGGTTAGGTTCTAAACTGACTGTTTTATGACTCTGCATGAGTGGGTAAGGTTCTAAACTGACTGTTTTATGATTCTGCCTGAGTGGTTACCGGTAGGTTCTAAACTGACTGTTTTATGACTCTGCCTGAGTGGGTTTGGTTTCTGCCTGACTGGGTTAGGTTTTAAACTGACTGTTTTATAAGTCTGCCTGAGTGGGTTAGGTTTCTGCCTGACTGGGTTAGGTTCTAAACTGACAGTTCTATGTTCCTTCCTAGGTTCTTAACTGACTGTTTATGATTCTGCCTTACTGGGTTATGTTCTTCACTGACTTGTTCATGTTTCTGCCTGACTGGGTTACATTCTAAACTGACTATTTGCAGTTTCTGCATGAGTGGATTAGGTTTCTAATTTGCCTTATTCATAATTTCTGCCCGACTTGGTAAGGTTTCAAACTGAATATTTTAGGTTCAGTTTTAGGTTTTAAAAGTTACTTGATAATGTTTCTACCTGAGCGGATTATGTTCTTAGCAAATGGTTTTTGTTCCTTCCAGACTGGATAAGGATTTAACCAACCTGGGTTAACTATGAAAGTGACCGTTTATGTTCTGCTTAACCGTTACTTTCACTTATATTTTATGTTTATTTCATGTGTAAATCAGATGTACTAGTATTTTTGTTCCGTTTCCTTAATAAATACCTGTAGAGGGTCTTAGTATCACGGGGCGGGGAGGGGACACATCCTTTTACTGTTTAAAATGTTCGTTGAAAAGCTGCCCAGACCACCACCTTTTTTTTTTGGCAGTATAGGTAAACTAGGCAAATGTGTATGAATAAGTATAAAGATTACTTTGCTGTGAAAGAAGTCTTAACCTTAACACCCCCCCCCCCCCCCCCCCCACACACACACATACACACACACGTCCACACAACAAAAGATTTTCGAGTTTGCCCCCCCCCCCCCTTCTTTTTTTCTTTTGTTGGTCTGTCAAAGTTATTTTAAGCAAGTTGCCTTTGTTTTCTTCCCCTCCTCCCCTCGTTTTTTTTTCAAAGATGATACAACGTGCCAGAAAGAAACAAATGGACTCCCTTATATACCTGCTTGAAATTGATTACCAAGTTCTAAACTGCCTTTGTTTAGTTTTCGGGGGTGAGATTGGGGTTACTGTTATTTTTTAATTTTTAGATTCCTATGTTGATTGGTGGATGCGGGCAGGGTTTTTTTTTAGCTATTTTAATCCACTCTTTAATATTCTTAATTCCATTCCATTAATTTATATTTGTGCTTTTTTAAAATTATATAAGCAGTTTCTTTACCTAAGTTCAAATAATTGCCTTACTTAATGATACCTAGACTAAAAAGGATTTTATAACATCTATATGAAAAACACATAAACTATTAGGTCATTCAATTCAATCGGGTTAGGCCTTCCATCTCCAATTACATAATCTAGAGTCATACCGGAATTTGTTTTTCCGAACTGCCTGACTGGTTAAGTAATAGACTCTTCCGTGCTTTGAATGATGGACACGGTTTATGCAATTGACAGTATTTTGAGTGTGGCAGGAAGACCGAAAGATATCGGGCTCGAAGTTTGACTCTGGAACCATGGAGAGATATTTCGTTTGAAAATGGCGGCACTCGTAAAGCTAGAATTGCGAGGGTTTTAAAAAATTCAATCGATTTAGCTATAAAAGGAAGTAAACACTAATAAAAGGTATGTAAACATCTGTGGTGACATATATTTTAAGTATACTATTTAATACTGTGAAAGCTGCTGCATGTGTTTAAATTTCGTATATACTATTTGAGTTAAAATATATCGACCCATTTTTAATATGAAACTTGACAAGTTATACTTTATTTTCCTTCTGCTTTTGATAATGCCTTTTTGATGAAGTTATTCTTTCGTACTTTGCTGTAATTTTAATTTGCGCAGAATCAGGAATATCGTTCTGAAGAGATTTTAGGATCAACATAATTGTGTGTCTCCTATCTGTAAGCCTCTTATTCCTCTGTTTAATTTTGGCTTACTGTTAATGCAAATTGTCTGCTTAGGCTGTTTTAAGAGTATAGTTGGACAAGACGTTAAAATGACAATGACTGAAAATGCAGCGTTGTTTGAATACAAATAATATAGAATTAAGTAAATAACTGTAAAAGTAATGAAACCAGTCTGATGCAATCTTCCTTGTTAGTCTCAGTGACAGTCTGTGCAAAAAACTTTTCGAGAACCACACACAAAGAAACTAAATCACAGGCTTGATAATATCAATAAGGACTTCTGTAATCACCACCAATGTGCAGCTGATATCACTTACCTGCATTTACAGAGGATTTATTTTATTGCTAACATGTCTAAAGGCAAAGCTCAAGTTCGGATAAGATTAAAAGAGAAATCTTAATGTGTGATGAAGGAGAAATCTGTACTACCTGGCAAAAACAAAATTATTAGCTCAAATCTCTCTATTGCTGTCCCTTTTATTTGCTTCCATTAGTGATGAAACGATTGTTGCCAACAATCAATTGTTGATCGATTGGAGCTCTTCGATGCTACTAATCGATTATGAAACAAAAGTTGCTGACATCGCAAACAAAAATATTAAGGGTTAATTTGGGTTTAAACTTCAAATTTTATTACCAAAAAAATCAGTTGCAGACATTTTAAAAGTTATTCTGAATGTTTAAAATGTAAAAACCTTCTTCAATTCACTTCAACAGTTGTTGTTGACAATTTTTACTGCCATCATTGAATGTAAGGTCAGGCTAATAACAGGAAATGGCCAGCGTTATGGGTGTAAGTCCAAATGAAATCAGACAAAGTTATTCCAAGAAAATAAATAATAAAAGGTGTGACTATAATATCAGTAATGTTCCCATTTGTATACATGTATTTATTTATTTTAATGAAGCATCTTACAGAAATTTAACTCTTATTTTCAATTTTACTGAGAGAAAATAAAGAATTAGAATACTTTGTCATTAAACAAATTTACTGAAACAATTATTTTGTTTATTTATATATATTACTGACTTTATTTACTTATTAAACTTTGAATAGAAGAAGGATAATAAATATTGTTTTTGTGATTATGCTTTTAAATTAACATGTTAAGGAATCTCTTATTTTATTTGAAAATGTAAGAAACCTGATTATAGCCGATTATCAATCGATTATGTGTTTCCGATTACAACCGATTATTGATTATGATTTTTCTCCGATTATTCAACACTAGCTTCCATTAAAACGTATTTTAATGGATTTGCCTGTTTGTGGTTCATTGTGGTAAAAAGACGTACCCTGATTTTAATGTATTGCATGTTGGTATATGCTTTTGATACATGACTATCAAGGCATATTGGCCTCTAGTGTCACTGGAGTCAGGTGACTGATTGTTATCTGTTTCATTTTTCAGTCATTTCTTATTGATCTAGCTGCCATATGTAACTTTTGCATGTTTTTGACTGTAAAAAATCTTCCTTGAACCTTTGGCTAAATTGAATAGTGAATTCCATGTGACTTAATTGCCTAAAAAAATTTCTTATGATATCAACTTAGTTGTCAATTAAGGTTTATGTGCGTTATTGCCAGACATAAAATTCATAATATCTGTTTACTTTCAATTTTGTTTTTTAGTCATAAGAGTTGTGTTTTGTTCTATATAAAATGTGTATTGAGTTCTGACATGTGATGTTACTTAATTAGTCAGAAGTCATTATAAAGACTGATAGGTAATGTTGTTCCAGTCATCGATTATGATAAAAAAATCAGTCAATGGTTGGTAGATTCCAAGTGCTAGAGTATAATGTCATTTCAATGAATGGGTTAATTGTCCTGTTATTATCACTGAGCCCATTTTAGAAAATGCAAGATTTCAGCCACAACCTATCCAGTACTCTGGAAAGGTGCTCGGTAATGGCAGGTGATACTTTTTTATCAATATTTGGTGATCAACATGCATATTTCCACAAAGTAAAAGTCTTCATAAATGTTTTGGTATATTTTAGGTAACTCTTGGTTATTTTCTCATTACTTTTCAAGAAAAAAAGGATATCCAGGGACATTTGTTGTTGTTTATTATGGAGATTTTTGTTTTTTGATCAGAACCAATAATTAGTTAGTTACAGAAAACTTATCAGATGATTATAAAAATTCTTACCAACTCCCATCACTATATCATTAAGACGTGTATTACATTTATTTCCAAGAGTTTGCCACTGTGTGCATGTATATTTTACCAGGGTGTCAGCAAGTATTTGACATTTGGGAGGCAAACTGGATCAAAGGGGGGGGGGGGGTCCTAACCAATTTTTTTTTACATAAACTAAATAATTAAAATTTCCGCCAAATTCTTGATATTTTTCCTATTAAGACAATAGCTTAGAGGTATTTTCTGATTTTAAAAAAGAACAATTAAACATGCAACAAAAAAAGTGGTTTAATATGTGTTTTAAGTTTTCTTCAGCTGCACTGGGAAACTTTCACTAGTCTACCATTTTCATCTCTGGTAGACAGAATATTTCAATAGCTAGGTTATATCGAGGTAAAGATTAAAATACATATAATTTTCTATTTTTGTATAATACCGGTATTGTTACTTGCCAAAAAAAAGCATAAGTATGAAATTTAAAATGGACAGGGTAATTAATCCTTCAAAATATCAACTGAAGTTGTTCTAAATAGTAATTTTAAACCCGATTTTTTGTATTTTGCTTTAATTTAATAGCTTCCAACTTCAATTCATCAAATATTTCCAAACATCGATCGACCAATTCATTAGACAATGAACAAGCCTGTTATACATAGGGGAAGGTGTCAGGAGGGGGGGGAGGGGGGCTCCAATTTTTGCCCAATTTCTCCATTTTTTCTGAGAATAGTTTTTTTTCTTGCTTAAGTTTCGATACGCAAAAATTTATTCATTTAGACGTTGCTCCCCCCCTCCCTTTCAAACACACTTTTTGTTGCTGTTATGTCGAACTCGGACAAATTCCAGCATTTGAAAATAAAAAAAAAATCCAGAAACTTGGAGAATCCCCACCCAGCCCACCAAAAATAGAATTTCCAAAAATGTTGCTAGCTGTGGGCCTTATGAAGAATTTGTAGCAAACTTGCACGTAGAGCGATGGATACCATGGTTATTGTTTACACATGCCGGGCAAAGGTATATCCCAATTGGCGTCTGGGTAAACAATAGCTTTCCCACTTTGCCTCTCCATTGACCACAGATTGCCATTACAAATTTTGTATTTCTCATTTAAAATTCATTTTTCTTTCTTTCTCTTTTTTTTTTTTTTTTTTTGGCAAAATCGTTGGGGTGGCGAATGTCGCCCCTGCCGCCCCTTTGCCGACGCCCCTGATTTTGCAGTAGTGAATTCACATGCACTTAAGAACTGTGTATATTTTTTGGGTAAAGAATAACAATAAACTATTATCTCTTACATACACTGTGTGAGGAGTATGTAAATTTTAAGAGGCAATAAAGTAGTGAAAGGACTATAAAGATAATCCTTCTTATTTTATTCAAATGTAAACAGTCCTAGAGTGTCAGATAGTAAAATCTTTTAGTTACCTGTTATATATCATTCCAAAGTAAACAGCAGTAAATTCAATGTAGATAATTTTTTATAACAGAAGTGTATCTTTATTCTTTTGTTATTCAGAATTTGAAAACCAGAAGTGTGCCACAGGATGTCAAGTCTATGTCCAGGAACACTTTTTTCTTTCCCAGGATTCAACAAAAAGTCCACACCAGTTCCACCACAGACAACATCAGAGGAACTCTCCAAACGTTATCGCCGGTAAGTCACAGCTTCTACTTGTGTTTCATGTAGGAAATCTGAAGATGAAAGCTGTTTAAAAAAGTAATTTGAACATCTTGACAATTGAGATTTTTCTTTATTAAGAAATGTAAATATTTTTTACTGGTATATTCAAATGATATTTTGAAATATTCAGATGATTTCATTTGAAGCAGAGTTCTTGAAAACTGTCAGACCTGATCTGGTCCCATCATACATTTTTTTTTAAAAGGACCATCAAAAATCATATCTTTGTTGGTCCTAGAGACCGGTTTAAAAAATTAAAGATGTATTTTAGATATTCTGGGAATTGTGAGTCAGCTGTAATATATTCTAGCTGTATTAGTTTATTGTAATACAGTTGAAATTTGGTATCTTGAAAATATCTCGAATACCATGGATATGTCGAAGTGATTTGGAAGTCCTAACCACGTATTTCTTAAGTATTTTACCGTCGATATCTCGAACCATCGAATATCTCAAAGTCCCATGGAGTTCGAGATAACGAAGTTTGACTTTATGCTTCTGGTTTTTGTGTGCATATGTGTCTTTAAAAATGACAAGCTGGTCAATTAACAGTGGTTCGCACCAGTGTGAGAAAAAATGAGAATGAGAGGAAAGATTAACGTGTCTATGAAAAGGAAAAGTGGGTGGCTGTAGCATTCTATTCAGTTACAATAGCAAAGGGGCCGGTCTTGATGTTGTTCTTTATGTTGAGTAATAAAGCAAAGTTAAAATCATTTTTTAAATGTGTTGTTGAACAGTTTATTTAAATGTGATTCATTTATTATGCTGTTTGCTTTTGTGGCTCCTGCAGGAAACTGATAGATCCTGCAAAAATTTTCCCTGAATCAGGACCTGTTGTCCTGCTTGTTGGTGAAAGTTTTCAAGAACTCTGTTGAAGTTAAATTTAATAGGGAAGTTTATAGTGAAGGAATGCATAACACACTATCAGTATGTCAGTAAATATATTCATTTATCATGCACAAACTACACCTGAAATAAGGAATGTCTGATAATTTGTAAATCTTAAGATTAAATGGCTAAATCCAAAAGAGTATAAGCTGGTAAAAAATGTGTATAATTGATCCAGTGAGTGGTTATTGATCTTTCTAATCGCAGGATATTTGCCTTGTAACTCAGGTAAATCAAACTGTATTGGTTAGGCCACCACTGCAGATATTTCAGCTGTTATCAATACGAATAGAACCTGAGTGGCTGAATAAACTATACACTAACTGACTAAAGATTGGTGGTTTTTTGTTTGGGCAATACATCTTTACATGGTGGAAGCATTGATTTATTTTTTGAATTATCGAGTGCATTTCATTATCATATCAATAATGGAAGAGGCTGTCCCATTTGATTTCTCAAGTAAAAAACTGAGCATAATTTAAAAACTGAGCATAATTTACATTCAATTTATTAAAAAAAGGTTCACATTTTCTGTTAATATTCATTTGAACCACATGCTACAAAGTGTGTAAGTGATCGCAAACACATAATGCATTCTGTGCCTCAAGTGAAATGTAATTATTTGTATCATTGCTCTTTGAAGCCTCTTTACAGGATATATGTAACTTTTTTTCATCAGACTTTCTTTTAAAATACAATTTGTTAGAGTTTTGTACAGATTTCATTTCTCTGTTATTTATTTTCTTTAAGTGGGTATTTTGTGTATTTGATAAGAAGCAAGCCCACATATTTTTATGGAGTGGAAGTTAAACTAGTCCACAAGACATTTCACTCTATTTAGAAATGTCAGTTTATAATTTCAAACCCTGCTCTATGGAATTGTAAAATTCATGTTATGTGGGCAAAGAGTTGGTCATAGTTTGAGCAACACAGGTGACCCTCATGTAAAAACAGAAATTAAAAATAAATTATCAGGTCTTGTGCTGAATGGAAGATTCAGTCAGAGTTTTCCCACAAGCCATATTATTGATCTAAGACCATAAGATTTTCACATCTAGCTTAAAAAAAAAAATTGCAGAAATTTGTTTAATTTTTTGATACTACATGTATATGTATGAACAAAAAACTGTTGTTTTACAGGCAACCTTTCAATGGCAGACCATGGCCCCATGGCAGTCCTGTTGCTGGAGTGTATGATGTAGAATTTTCCTCGACAAAAATGATACTTTTCAACAATAAAAGAAGAAGAGTAAGAATTTTGATATTCATCTCTAGATCTACCTTAAGCTCTACATTTTGCATTGGACAGGTGTTAGTCTGTCTGTAAACCATTTTTAGCTTCCTTTTTTTTTTTTTTAGGTCTAGGTTCATGCCTTGTTCATTGGTTGCCATTTGTAACTTCTGAAAATAATCAGCTTCTTTTCTGAAATGGCTGAACTAGTTTCAGTGAAACAGGTGAAGATAACAAACAGTGATCAATCTCAAGAAAATCTGTAAATAATACATATCTGTGAATAGGGCATAAAACACAGATCCCAGGAAATTCCAGAGGTAGAATCAGGTGCCCAGGACGAGTAAGCATCCCCTGTTGACTGTCACACCCACCGTGAGCCCTGTATGTATTGATCTGGTAGATTGAATGTTCCGTAGTCAAATTTAGTATAAAAGCAAAGGCCTAACAATTGCAACATATATCAGTCAAATTAGTAAACAAGGTCATTATAACGACCACAGAATTTATGAAATGCTGACTTTACACAAGGTTGCTGAAATCCCTCTAACATTAACTTATCTGTCAGTAGCCTGCCCCAGTTTAAAAATTGATTGTACTCAGAGCATGCTCTTGCCTCTTGAGTATTGGATAAATACCATATGTAGATGATAACAGAATATTACTACATAAAGGAAAGTTGACGATTGAAAAACTGAACTCATCTTGTTTGTCATACGATTTAGTTGTTAGTTGGCCTTATCATCTATGGTCAGTAAAACATCCAAATATGAAACAGACTTTGAGGTGTCTTTAATACTGATTTCTTTGGGAAATATCAAGTGAACACATGAATTCAACCAATTTTGATAAGTAGCATCTATTGTTGAAGAGGAAGAAAACTTATACCAAGCAGTTAGCTTGCTTTCAGAATTGTTAATTTCAATCCCCTGGTTCCAAGGTTCAGATTCCAGTTGACAAGAGTGAAGCCATATATGGAGCATAGTGACCCTTGGTCCAGTTGCTATATTCTTTTTACTCTTCTTAAAAGCTTTTCAGGGAAAAAAGTTAAACCTGTAAAAAAAGTTGTTAGAATTCCAAGTATTTGAATACTATTTTCTCTCAAAACATTTTTAACTACATTTCATTTACATCCACTGAATACCGGTATTTTCTTTTTTATTTCTTAAGAAAACTGATTCCAAAATTCTATCAATTAACCCTATACTTACTACCTAGTCTAGTAAGAATCAGGTTTTTAAAGCCATCTATTTAAAAGATTTCTAACAAAAATTTGGCTCTTCCATCAATGAAATGTATATCACGTACAGATCAATAATACAATATTTTACTATTTTCAACCACTTTACATGAATAATTAAAACAGATATGACTATGAACAATAAAATGTCTTTCTTTCTTTGTTAATACAGGGATTAACAATTGCAATCATTGCATAAAAATCTACGTAACCCACTTACACAGGTTATGTATTTTTTCTGCAATGATTGCAACTGTTAATCCCCATATTACATGTATTAACAAAGAAAGCATTTTATTGTTTAAATTAGAACCTGAAATGATATGATATTCACATGGAATAAAACATTTTTATTTCACAGCAAAGCAAATTGAGAGGAAACAATGACCCTAAAAATGAAGAGAGCTTGTGAGTATAATTATTTTGTTTCCAGTAGACAGATAATATACTTAATATGCTATATGCATTTATTTTTTGCCCTCTCTATAAATTTTTGGCCACTAAGTGTAATCTTTCTCTATTCTTCATTTCTGTCATTCTTTCTTAGGTTTCCAGATTTTTTTTAGATCAAGCTTGTAAACTTTGAGCCAATTTTTTTTCCTCCTCTTATGACATATAGGAAGTGCATATGCATTTGTCTGGTCTGATATCTGGGTTTTTTTTCCTTCTCAAGTCTTTAGGTCAGAGGTGATTTTTTGTTATCACTGGCTATCCATCGATCCTCATTTAACTTTGAACTTTTTCAATTTCTCCTCAGAAACTGCTGGGCTAATTTCAAGAAGTATTGGTGTGGAGTTTTTATGGGTAAAGTTCTAAAGAAAATCTTGCTCAGTGTTCAACCTAATCCTATTGCATTTCATAAGCCCTACCTAACTGCAGAACTGTAGCTCTCTGCTTGAGAAAATCAGACAGATAGTCAGGCTTCTTAAAGCAGGAAAATCATAAAATACAAGAAATAATGCCCAAAGCGAGCGACAAAAAAGCGGCGGCATAAATCAAAGGTTTTTACAAAGCTTGGATCTGTAGCTCTCTGCTTTAACTGTCTGAATTCTCTCAAGCAGAGAGCTACAGTTCTGCAGCTAAAGCCCTACCCCCCTCCTCTGTCCCCAGGGAACTTGAAGCCAGAATGGCAGAAATTTAAAATTCTTTGAAATCTTTCAAGACACTACTAGCTCCTACAATTTTTGCCTGATTTCAGTGAACACACAAAATATAGGAAATCTGAGCGGATCCGCTCTGAAATGATTTTGAACACATTATTCTTTGCTAACCTTCACAGTTTTATTTGTTTGTTTATTGTTTAACGTCCCTCTCAGGAATTTTTCACTCATATGGAGACACCACCACTTGCAGCTGCCTCACACATCAGTGACTATGCTATATGCTATGATACATACATGTAATTTTATTTATCAGTTTTTGATTTCTACAAAAAAAAGTTGCTCCTTCCATTTAAGTCTGATAGCATTTTCAATTTCCTTTGATTGATTTCTGATTACTGTGGAATATTAGATTTTTTTTCATGGTGGCTCAATTTTTGTGGAGTTTGTGAATACCTCTCATCCAACAAATAAACATCCTCCACGAATTAATAAACTAGGGCTACAAAGTCATATTTCCCTTTGTAGGTGTAAGAGAATAAACGAAATTACATTTTCACAAACCTGTAAAATTTAATCTATGAAAATTGGCCCCCCACGAATTTTAATTATTCCACAGTACTTTTTATTTTATAAAAATGTGAAAAAATTTGCAATGCAACTACAATTTTTGTTTTAGTACTTTTAACCGTCAAGTGCCTTTTTTTTTTTTTTAATACAGTTTTCAAAGAACATCTCAAGCTGATACTGAATTTTTTAAGGAGGGTAGGTGGTCAACAAATTACCATTCAGATCCACCTAAAAATATGAAATATAATTTTTCTAGCCATAAACTTCTTCAGTGCAGAAAAAAACCATGTTCAAGCTAATATTTAATGCAAATTTGTTTTTGTTTTCATGAGGTTTAATTAATCTAAAAATGGCCATGACCACCCAGCCTCCTAAATAATGTGTTAACTGCCATTAATATAGACACCATATTCAGTTCAGTTCAGTTCTTTATTCCGTAGGACGTACATCCCATAGGCATTACAGTATAATATAATGTATTTATCAGTTACATACATAGTACAATATCATGATATACACTTACAAACTTGTGATACATACATTCTATTATTTAGCTAATTGTTTTAAACATTCTAATCGTAATTTATTAGCATGATATATATATTTCCCTAACTGATTTACATCTTTGGTATTTGTACTACAAAATAGTTGTATTAGTTTAAAGACACTTGGTCTTCGGGAGTAGTAATGTTTGATGAATTTGTCTCTTAAATCATGAAAAACTGGACAAATGAATAAAAAATGAAATTCATCTTCAATATCATTTAAATTACATAAATCACATTTCCTATTACTCCTTATTAAATTATCATACCTTCCCGTTTCTATCTTTAAATTATGTGCTGAGAGTCTAAAACAAGTAATTGCTTTTCTGTATTTTACATGTATAGGTTTCTTTAAATAACCTTGCAAACAAAAATAGTCAACTAAATGCTTATATAACATGCATTTTGGTGATCTACATATATCAGATATAGCTTTTTGTTTAAAAACATCACACATTCTATTGTATGTTATGTCTAATATAATAAAAATATAATATTATCTTTTTGATTACTATGGTACAAGTCACCTAAACCTAGAGTGTACATTTCATTTTTTATACTCATAATCCAGGGGTCTTTATATTTCACCATATCTTGATAACATGCACTCAATATACAATTATTACTTTTTCTTAATTTTAACCAATATTGTAATATTCTATATATATCTAGTGGTATTCTACATGTACCTAACTCATAATAAACAACACAATTGCAAGTATTTTTTCTTACACCAAGTATTCTTTTACAAAAATTAATATGCACTCTTTCAACATCTTGACCTTTATGAAACCCCCATATTTCAGCTCCAAAACATAACACACTTTTAACATAAGTATCAAACACATTAATCTGAGTCTCAACATTGAAATTTAAATCTTTCATTTTACTATAAATACTAAACATTGCCTTGTTACCTTGTGTTGCACAATGTTTCTGTGTGGATAAAAATTTATCATTATAGTTAAATAACATTCCTAAATAGTTAAATTGATTCACAACTTCCGCATTGTTACCATTATATTTCCATTTTTCTTCATTTTTTACATACTTTCCATTTCAAAAAACTACAATTTTTGTTTTTTGTACATTTACAGTTAAATTCCATTCTTTTGTATAGCTATAAAGAGTGTTTAACATTTCTTGTAAACTTTCAACTGATTCCGCTATTAGGACTGTATCATCTGCGTACATAATTAGAAACAAATTGATCATTTGGAGTTCAACTGAAGCACAATTATTTTCAATAAAATGCCGTTCAAAATCGTTCAGATAGATGGAAAATAATACAGGTGATAATATTTCCCCTTGCAGAACACCGGCAGAAATACAAAATGTGTCTGTCAATATTCCTTGGTGTTTTATACAGGCTCTAACATTCTTATATAGAGACTTAATAATGCATAACATTTTTCCTTGTATACCCTCTGTTTGTAACTTGTACCATAACTTAGATCCGTCAATTAAATCAAAAGCCTTTGAATAATCTACAAAGCAACAGTATAATCTCTTTTTGTTTCTCAATGTCCTGCTAATTAAACTTTGTAGAATAAATATAGCGTCAATTGTACTTGCACCTGGCTTAAAACCAAACTGAGCATCTGTAATGATATTATATTTTTGGTCCCATTCTAACAATGTATTATTCAGAACACATGTAAACAATTTTGCTAAACAACTAACCAAAGTTATACCTCTATAATTATTTGGGTCATGTAATTCGCCCTTTTTAGCTCACCTGAGCTGAAAGCTCAAGTGAGCTTTTCTGATCACATTTTGTCCGGGGTCCGTCTGTCTGTCCGTCTGTCTGTAAACTTTTCACATTTTCGACTTCTTCTCAAGAACCACTGAGGCAATTTCAACCAAACTTGCCACAAAGTATCCTTGGGTAAAGGGGATTCAAGTTTGTTCAAATGAAGGGCCACGCTTTCTTTCAAGGGGAGATAATTAGGAATTACTGAAAAAATAATGGCATCATTTAAAAATCTTCTTCTCAAGAACCATAGGGCCAGGAAAGATGAAACTCATGTGGAAGTATCCTTAGGTAGTGTACATTCAAGTTTGTTCAAATCATGACCCCCGGGGGTAGGGCGGGGCCGCAATGGAGGATCAAAGTTTTACATAGAAATATATAGGAAAAATCTTTAAAAATCTTCTTCTCAAGAACAGCAAAGCCGTGATGAGTCATATTTATATGGAAGCATCCTCAGGTAGTGTAGATTTAAGTTTGTTCAAATCATGACCCCCGGGGGTAGGGCGGGGCCACAATGGAGGATCAAAGTTTTACATAGAAATATATAGGAGAAATCTTTAAAAATCTTCTTCTCAAGAACAGCAAAGCCATGATGAGTCATATTTATATGGAAGCATCCTCAGGTAGTGTAGATTCAAATTTGATCAAACCATGGCCCCCGGGGGTAGGGCGGGGCCGCAATGGAGGATCAAAGTTTTACATAGAAATATATAGGAAAAATCTTTAAAAATCTTCTTCTCAAGAACAGCAAAGTCATGATGAGTCATATTTGTGAGGTAGCATCCTCAGGTAGTGTAGATTCAAATTTGTTCAAACCATGACCCCCGGGGGTAGGGCGGGGCCACAATGGAGGATCAAAGTTTTACATAGAAATATATAGGAAAAATCTTTAAAAATCTTCTTCTCAAGAACAGCAAAGCCATGATGAGTCATATTTATATGGAAGCATCCTCAAGTAGTGTAGATTCAAATTTGTTCAAACCATGACCCCCGGGGGTAGGGCGGGGCCGCAATGGAGGATCAAAGTTTTACATAGAAATATATAGGAAAAATCTTTAAAAATCTTCTTCTCAAGAACAGCAAAGCCATGATGAGTCATATTTATTTGGAAGCATCCTCAGGTAGTGTAGATTCAAATTTGATCAAACCATGGCCCCCGGGGGTAGGGCGGGGCCGCAATGGAGGATCAAAGTTTTACATAGAAATATATAGGAAAAATCTTTAAAAATCTTCTTCTCAAGAACAGCAAAGCCATGATGAGTCATATTTATATGGAAGCATCCTCAGGTAGTGTAGATTCAAATTTGATCAAACCATGGCCCCCGGGGGTAGGGCGGGGCCGCAATGGAGGATCAAAGTTTTACATAGAAATATATAGGAAAAATCTTTAAAAATCTTCTCAAGAACAGCAAAGCCATGATGAGTCATATTTATATGGAAGCATCCTCAGGTAGTGTAGATTCAAGTTTGTTCAAACCATGACCCCCGGGGGTAGGGCGGGGCCACAATGGAGGAGCGAATTTTTACATAGAAATATAAAGGAAAATATCCTCTTCTGAAGAACTGCAAACCATGATTAGTCATTTTGATATGGAAGCATCCTCAGGTAGTGTAGATTCAATTTTGTTCAAATGATGACCCCCAGGGGTAGGGTGGGGCCCAATGGGGGAAGGAAAGTTTTACATAAGAACATATAGAAAAAAATATTTCTTCTTAAGAACAGAAAAGCTATGTTTAGTCATATTGATATGGAAGCATCCTCAGGTAGTGTAGATTCAAGTTTGTTCAAATGATGACCCCTGGGATAGGGAGGAGCCACAATGGGGGATCAAATTTTTACAAAGGAATATATGGGAATTTTTTTAAAAATCTTCTCAAGTACAACAAAGCCATTTGTTATATTGACATGGAAGCATCATCAGGTAGTTTAAAATTCTGCTGACACCAGTGTATTAATTAAATTGTATAATTACATAATTATCTAAAATATATGAACAAGTCTGTACTCCATAATTATTTTTGTTTACCTGTACGTATATGTATTCATGCTATTTCACATGTATCTTTTATATTGTCTTTGTATATATTGTACATAGAACCTCATATAACACTAAGTGGTTTGAGAGAATAAATTGAACTTGAACTCAGTTTTGGCTTGGTTCTCATAGTACCTATCCCCCCTCCCCCACCCACCCTCATCCCAGAAGCTAACAAATTCAGTTGAAAAATATTTTTGAGCCTAATTTTAAGTTCAGTCAAGTAGAGATATAGCCTAATCAGATACATCTAGTTATGATTATCTTTATTGATTTTCCTCCCATTAATATTCAGTTTTATTGAAATACTACATATTGATTTAAAATTGGAATTTTCATTTTAATAACTAACACTAGATTGGTTGAATAAAATGACCAAAATTATTGCTTCCTTAATCTTCTCAATCTTGTTGGAACTGAATTTTTAACTCCCCACTTAATTTTGGTAGGAGGAGAAATCTTGCAATAAAATTCATTGGGCTATAGGCAATCTCTGGGCCAAACTTGAATACATGTAAATGGTTCTACATGTAGAAGTATTTCTTATACAGAAAAATAATACATGGTCATTACATTGAAATGATACCTGACAAAAATGCTTTATATATATTTAATTATGCTGTATTACTTGTGTTACAGAAGTCCAGATCCAAACAGACACTATCGAGGTAATAACATTTGTCTGTGTTAACAGTTTATTCAGTTGTGTTAAGCTCTGTTATAGATGGCCTAGTTGGTCTTCAAACTTTACACACATAAATGAGTCAGGTTGAGGTGTACATTTCCAATTTATATATATATATATATATATATATATATATATATTAGGGATGGCAACAAATATTCGAACATTCGAATATTCATTCGATGAGGTGATATTCGAATATGAATTTAAGATTCGAATATTCGGTGTTTTTCAGATTTCATAAAAAGAAGTACTGTGATTAATAAATTTTGATTAGAACAGTGCTGGAATTATCCCTGTTTAATTTACTAGCGATCAATTTCGATCGCCTGATTTCTTTCACTACTTTCTTATCTTATAAATCTTTTAAATTACATGTATTTTGTTCTGAGTAAGGTGTTGTAAAGAATTCTATAATAATGCTTTATCTATAATACAAAACGTACTTTCATAGCTTTTATTAGTTAAAGATACGATCAGATCTAGAATCGAGGACAACAAATGTAATCTAAGAATATCTAAAAGGCTTGAAGAGTATACTTATCAAAATAAAATTAATTGATCATTGAATGAATGTCCGATAGAATTAATCTGTAATTAATATTGTAAAGGGCTTAATTTCAGAATAAATGTGTAAATTACTTGATTATCTCGGGTTGTACATAATTTACATTCATTATCGGGAAAACAGTTAATTACCTAGGAAAATTGTCTATGAAAATATTTGTTTACATTGTATCAAAGATTATAATCATATCTCTTATCAGGCAGATAATTGTAATTTATTACACGTATTGAAATCTGAACAGTATACCATTACGGCTATCTTGCCTTTTGTGAGACGACTGGTTCCTCAGGTGGGGCTACTATAAATACACGTTTCATTTGTTAAAATTATACTTTTCTACATTTAAATCAATTATTTATTTCAAACATTGACAAATATCAAATGGAATTTCTTATTGTACACCTACAACTTCATGTCTTCATACAATTTTAATTCCTATATAAGTATACCTACGAGAGTAGGATGATGCATATTGAAAATAAAACAGATTTTATTTATTTTATCGAATATTCCAATATATTCGAATACTTTCATTGAATATTCGAATATGAATTATTGACAAAATTGACATCCCTAATATATATATATATATATATATATATATATATATATATATATATATATATATATATATATATATATATATATATATATATATATATATAGGAATTAATTGACTTTGACCTTGAAATTGGTGCATGAAATAATTATTGTAAAATTCTTTCAAAACATTACTCCTCTTATAGTTTTGTTTAAATTTCAATAAAAGGATGATGTGACATATGGCCCCCGGTAAATTGACAATATAAGATATCTAAATTTTACTCTAATTTTTGCATCCACTTAATCACTGATATGTGTACCGTCATGAAATACTACTTTTACCGAATATAGAAACATAATTTGGGAGATATTTATCTTTATTTTGAGTAGGGGTACCATGTTTACATTCAATTCCCATTGAATTTTGGCCCCGCCCCACTCTTTGAAGCCCTTAAAATATACGAGCGCAAGTAGGTACATTTTTCTCCTTTGGACGGTTGCTGTATTTTATTGAAATCTACCTATATGTGAAAGGAGAAAATTGTACCTAACTGGGCTCAAATGTTAATGTGTTTAAAATATTGCAAAATCTGGCTGGTCCTCTCCATTACGAACAGATCGACGAAACAATTTTTCTGACGTAAGAATAAATTCATATGCTAATCGAGGCACCTGCGTGACTCTCTAACCAACCAATCAGCTAAATGAGTTGTATTACAAATGAGCATTACAAAATCTCTAAGGACATTTAATGCTTGGAAAAAAGGCATTTTTTTTTTCTTCTTTTCCGATAAATTTTTTTTTATTCATTTGAGTCACAGATTAGACATGAATCTACAATTTCTGTGCTCATAATTACAAACATTTTTTTTTTGTAAATATACATTGTATAATTTCATAGTTTTGTAAAGTGTCCTTGGGCAATTGGCTACACGTATTCCCGAGAATTTCTCGACCCAAAACGGTAAACACTGAAGTTCCATACGTATTATCATGTATAAAAAACCTTTGTTGACCATTAAAAGTTTGAAATGTAGTAGAGATAATATGTAAATTGACCTAAGCCACGTGTCCATGATAAAATGTAAACATGTGGTAAACCAGCATGTTTTGTTGTTCAGTCATCGGATTGGACAATTGTTCTCAGTAAGCGACAATGACCGAAATAATAACAATAGCTATATAAGGTAGATTTCTCAGACATGCAGACCTCTCTATTGTACTAAGATCTGCCTATTCTCTTTTCATAAAAGATCCTTTTGTCAAACCAAGTCGAATTTTGCTCTCCTGGGGTCTAAAAAAATCACAGATAATGCAGAAATCATCATAATTAAAATGTGGTGGAACTATTGAAACTATTCAAAAGGCGTCGTATTTGTTCACTATCAAAGATTAAACATAATTTGCCGTAAAAAAAGGGGCCGCAGAAAGTAGTTTTGGCACATCATCCTTTGGTACAAGGTAGATTACACCAAAGTACATAATTCTATAATATATATAGTGTATAATTTTTAAATTTGACAACAGTGTTGCCTTTGTAGCTTTGAATAGAAATTTCTGTGAAATTCTTACTTAACACTACTTCTACAATTTGGTCCTCTTGCAATAAAACATGATGGTGCAAGTTAATTTTTTTAAATTTTATTTTCTTTAAAAAAAAAAAAAAAAAGATTAGGATACATTATTTTGTAATTGTAATGCACTTTTCTCTTTACCATTTTAAGTACAATGCAGTAGAGCTCCATTCTTATCAGAGACTTCTGGTTATTGGAAATAAATTTGTTTGTATTAAATCAATATATTCTACAGGTTTTTGTGAAGAGACAATACTTATTTAAAAAAGAAAAAAATATGAAATTCTTCAAAAATGTAACTACATGTATCACTTTTCAATAGTTGTACTCGGATCAACTACTTTTAATCTTTCATTTGGATGATTAGCAATTCAATTTTTTTTTTTAGATGCAATTTTTCTAGCCTCCAATTTCAGATCACTGAAGTATTTGACTTTGTTTCGAAGGAAATGAATTTATCAAGAATGCTTTGTAGTATGGCAATGCACTTAAAAAAATCAAACAAACAGTTTTATGTTAAATCAGATTCTTGTCCCTAAAACAATTAAAAAACAAACTAAAAGGGGAGGGGATGTCAAGAAAATTTTATAAGATTTGAGGAAAGTCTTACTGTAATTTTAATCTTTGTTTTATTTATAGCATCTTCACCTGTATCAAGAGAGCTCCACCAGAACTGTTATAACTCAATGTCTCCCTACTATTACCAGCCAATGACTATCCCATGGATCAACTACTCTGAAAGGCCACCACCAACTTATGAAGGTAACTATACACCTGACTGATTGTACACATGTACTTCATGCTTTTATTGCTAATTTTGGAAGCTATTTTAAAACAAGTTGAAAGGAAGTACCATATCTTTTATTCAGAGTTTTTACTTAAAAATTTCAGCCATAATATACTTAATAAAGGTGTTGGCATTGATTATTTAAATGCATCATCCTTCAAGGTTTTTTCCCCTTTTTATACCCCACGCAACAAGTTGTGTGAGGTATAATGTTTTTGACCAGTCAGTCAGTCCGTCAGTCCTTTTTTTTTTGTCAGCGCAACTCCTCATAAACTGCTGCACAGAATTTCATCAAACTTTGCAGATATTTAGGACACAATGTGTAGATGTGCATATTACCAGGAAATTCCGATTCCTTTCTTTTTTTCTGGGAATTTCAGCACTTTTCAACTTAGATTTTTGGCCATATCTTGAATATAGAGATGAACAGTTTGTTAGTGCAACTCCTCTTAAACCGCTGCACAGAATTTAGTTAAACTTTGCAGATATTTAGTACAGTGTTTAGATGTGCATATTACCAGGAAATTCCGATTCCATTATTTTTGCCTTAAGAGTTTTGCCTATTATTGAAGAAACTTTCCAATTAGGTAATAAGGAAATCCACTGGAATCAGCTTTTGTAATGAAATTTTATGTGAAATATTTTATGACCTTAAAAGACCCCTAATCATTTTTAGATCAAAATATTAATAATTTAACACACACAAAATCTTGGATAGTTCTCATCCCCCCCCCTCCCCCCCTCAAATTGGTGCTTTGCCTTAAATAATTTCATAAGTACAGTATATAAACAAATTCATATGACTACATCATAATTTTGTTTCCATCAATTACATGTATTTAAATGTGTAAATTGTCATGTGTTGGACATGGACTATTTATCAGAAACTTCAGCCCAATTAAATTTGTAACATACAAAGATTTGAATATCCTTATATGCAAGAAGTTTTGATGTGATGATTTTTTGCAAGTAATGCCCCTTTTTGAATTATACTGTGTATTTAAAATGCACTGTGCCATTCATTACGTGTTGCATTGTCGAGTTTTGGGGGAGCGTGGGGTATGTGAGCTTGCTCACTTTTTCTTTCATTTTTGTAGATGGCAGTCTTGTCAATCCTAAGCGGCACACAAGTTGCTGTGTGCCAACAGACCCACTGGCTTTCAAAGTGGGAGTTAGTAACGAGAGGCGGCCACATAGCAGGGCATCCCTTCCCCCCAATTTCCGCTCCAGCCCGATGCTTAATCACCCAGACCTGAAAAGGGGAGAGAAAAAGTACATAGGCAGCATTGCCAGGATCTACAGTGCTCAACAGATGATTAAACTGAAGCAGAAGCAATACAATCAGCTTCTTACACTGGAGATGGAGAAAGGTAATCCAAGGCGGGTATCAGAAAGAGGATAGTTATAGTCCCTAAAGGTTGTACATGTAGGTGCACAAAATGATGTGGATTAAAAATAAAGTTTAACATAGCAATAAAGCTTCAGATTTATAAACTCTGTCCCAGGGATCCAAAGAGGCTTAAGTGGGTGTGATTCCTTATAAAAGTTGAAAGTGTTTTTAAAATTTGATTGGTTAAAAGAATTATTAAAAAGTTCTATTGCTAAGCCATATCCTCAGGGAAACATTGCATTACATAAGTTGAAAATGCATGACTACTGGCAACATAATAAAAACTGAATGTTTGCACGTATGGTTCATTGTGACAGATGCATTCTAAATACATTCAGTTCAGCCAAAGGCTCAAGTGAACTGTTCTGCATACGCAGGTGGTCTATTCTGCATCCTCAGGTGTAGATTCAAATCATGCCTCCTCCCCTGCCCTCCCCCAGGGTGGAAGGGGGGGATGCCGGACCATATATATATATATATATAAAATTATATATAAAATTATATTTCAACTTTTCAATACTTAAGTGAACTATTTCTGCTTTTCTCAGGCCAAAGTGCTTTTTTGAGTGATATGGCTCATGGGCCTCTTGACCTATGATTTTGGGATGAATATAAAAGATAAAAGTTTTGAGAGTACGTCCATTTTCAAGCATCTACAGTTCTTTGTTGTTCTAAGTTCTTTTGGATGCTACATACATGTGACCTATATTTACTGAATGAATCAGGATGATTGATCAATTTGGGGCATTGCATGAGAGCAGATGAATTCCAAAATGAATATAATATATGTTTTACAATGATTAATATTTCAATATATGTTATTTCATCATTGATATCACCATGGATGCCTTTAAGTGAATCCTGCTACACCAACCACACACATAGTAAATCATATTTAGGTGTAATACTGTAACAAATTTTGTTTTAGGGTATCATTCACCTGAAGAATATAAGCAGTACAAAAAATTCATAGAACTTGGAAGACAACGTCAGTATGCAAGACCATCCCGTGCCAAGTCTGCCCCAGCAGACAGATGGTAAAACAATCAAATTTATATTTAATAATTGTGTCATATTATCAGTAGAATATTTTACAATATTGATAATACATGTACAGTTTTCCTGGGATGTCATGCTTTTTGATTTTTTTTTTCATGCAATACCAGGACCAGAGCATTTGAAGAAAGCCTATTTGATGATGAGGAAGAACAAACTACCAAAAAGTCAGCATCATCCAAAAGTCCTCGAATTAAATCCCCAACAAACAGCAGTAGAAGGGGCCCTGTCAAGTCCAGCCAATCAGGAAAAGGAACAGGCAGGTCATCTACAAAGGAAACATCAGTGTCAAAATACCCAACAACATCGGAATCTTCACCCAAGGCATCCCCACAGCCAAAGTCTGAAATTAAACCAAGATCACCACCAGTACCTACTGAAGGGGAGGGGGAAGAAAAAGAAGAAAGTTCAGATACCTCCGAAAGTGTGCATTCCTCCCCAGACAGAAAAATCCACAGGGAGGGATATGATAGACCACTGTCCAGAATGGGGCATATCCCTGAAGGTACCTAAGCTTTTATAAATCATATCATTGATGTTTGTTACACCAAAAGGAAATTGGCCTGATTCTACAGTAAATATGTATATCTATAATTATTAGTATTGTTGTTTTATTAGGCCTTATTTTGTTCATCATTCATTAGAAAAATATAATGAGCAATTAAAGGTTTACTCTAAATGTTTAAACAAATTGTGAATACCTCTTAGATCCATAAAATACTTTTAGTGACTTGGTACCTTTTCTGAAAAAAAACCCAGTGGGGAGTATTTGTCCATTTTGGACAGTTCTAGTTTGATTACCAGGAACTGAATGAATTTACCTGCTCAACACCAATATAAATGAACAATTAGTATGAATATTGACCATATTGTAAGATCAAATTCTTGTTCTTTACACCCAGATTCTAAAAGCCAAAAATCTGAAAACAATGATGAAGAGTCTTCCAGTAAATCAAAAACTGAGACCAAGATGCAAGAAAGTTTACCAGCTTTTACTGAAGAAAGTGACACACAGTCTGCAAGTAAAACTGACACAAACTCCAGTGAGAAACAAGAATCCAGTAAATCTGACAGTAAAACACCTACAGATGAAACGACAACTCGGGAAGACACGTATAAATCATCAACAGATGACACCACAACTCGAGAAGACCCATATAAATCATCAACAGATGACACTACAACTCGAGAAGACCCGTATAAATCATCAACAGATGACACCACAACTCGAGAAGATCCGTATAAGACATCAACAGATGACACCACAACTCGAGAAGACCCGTATAAATCATCAACAGATGACACCACAACTCGAGAAGACCTGTACAAGACATCAACAGATGACACAAGAGACAGAGAACCACAAGCGGATGACAAAATGGCATCTGATTCAGAATCTCAATCGGACATTGAGGAAAAAAAGGAACAGCGAGAGGAAGAGGGAGGTAAAACTAGCGAGTCAGAGTCAGGCACTGAGAGAAATACCTCCGAGAATGCAGAAAGTGAGAAGAAACCTTCAGGTTCAAAAGAAAAAGTGTCCTTTAGGAAGGACCCTGAATTAGAGGGATCAGATAAAGCTCAGTTACCAAAGAGAAGGAGAGATTCTTTAAGTGACGACGAAGTACCAGCTTCTAAAAGGGACCCAGATGAATTAGAATATTAATGTGAGACCCAGTTGAATTAGAATATTAATGTGAGGCCCAGATGAATTAGAATATTAATGTGAGACCCAGTTGAATTAGAATATTAATGTGAGGCCCAGTTGAATTAGAATATTAATGTGAGACCCAGTTGAATTAGAATATTAATGTGCTGAATTTTTAAAAAAAATAATTCTAAACTGTTGCAAACAGCCTGGATTTAAAAAGAAAACAGATTTCTATAGTTATTTAAGTTCTATATGTACAAGTTTACTCATGTTGACAATTTTTATCAACAGACAGTGCCAATTGAATTTGAAGTATTTTGAAGTATACTTTTGAAGTATTTAGTTATACATGTTACTAACATGTATTTATATATGAAGAATATGTCAAATCAATTTTAGAGATATATGTGTTAGTTTCATTTTTTTTTTTTTTTTGCCTATTTTTAACAGTATTCACAACTTTATTGTGCAGATAGTTTACACAATACAAAGCAGTATTAATTTAGATGTTTTCAGTACTGTAACGGATAACGGAACAATTTGATTCTGAGTTCACTTTGATACACATGCAATTTATATTTTTATCTTTACATATATTTATGCCAGTTAACTGCTTGCAAACTAGACAGAATTTGCTTTAATGATTTTTTTTAAGTATTGCCTGTGATATATGTATATCTCTTCTTTATAAATGATTTATTATTGCAAATCTAGGAACTATAAGCTAATAAATTTTATTTTTTTGTCAGTGATGTTTCTAATGGTTATACTTTTAGGTCACTGGATTAAATCACTGAATGACCTATTGCCTTCTGTTTCTTGCATTTGGGGTGTGTTTTATGTTGATGGTAGCTGTTGGATATTTTCAGCTTTTCCTTAGGAATCCAAATTAATGGCTTGACCAAATTCAACAACTTTTAGTATTTTCCATCTAATATTTAGGGTGAAAAAAAATTAAATTCTGTGGTTCCTGTCTGCTGAGGAATGGGGCTAAAGCTATCACACAGTGCAATCTTTAGAAATCTCTTTGGTCTCAGACACCCAACAGGTAAACATACATGATTAGAATGATCAGTTGGCCCTGGACTAAAATTACTGAAGTTCCAGAATTCAGGACTGGTCTAAATTGGTCAAGCATTAAAATGTATTTCGTTTTTGAAAAGCTTTGGTCCTGGACACCCAGTAGTCAAATAATTGTTTTAGTGATTATAATCCGTGTTAATCCTTCAAACAGAATTGTGAACTTTGTGATACATAGGAATAAGGTTCACTGTCCAGGGGGGATTACATTAATCTTGTAAAATACATTTGCATTTTAGAACTTTGACCCGAACTATTGATAGCTAGTAAAGAGAATGTCTGTGTAATTATAGTGAGCAATGAGTCATGCACAAATCAATTACCTTTTATGGAATAAGGATGCACACAGTGACCTTTTATTGTGTTTTAACATTGTTACCCAAAGCAATGTAATATCAGTGCAGGTATATTTGGATGCTGTGAGGGTTCAGAAGACAAGTACAAAAAAAGATAATTCAAGGAATTTATGTCCCCTTTGTAAGGGCAGAAGTTTATTTGTAACAATATACAAGTTTGTTACCTTGACCTTTTATCCTTTCATCTCAAATTCAATAGGGGTCATGTTTCATTGAAGTGTTTGTAGGCATCTGCTGTGTTTTGAATGCGTAAGTAAAAGAAATAAATTCAGATGAGACTACTAACTCGCACAAGATGAAACACTTTGGCCTTTGTTTTTTAATTCTGAATTTGGCTATGGAAAGTTCCATCTACCTGATCAATACATAGGGCTCATGATGGGTGTGACCGGTCAACAGGAGATGCTTACTCTTCCAAGGCACCTGATCCCACCTCTGGAATTCCCAGGGTTCCATGTTTTACGTCCTCTTCACATATTTGTATTGTTTTGAGATTGGTCACTGTTCGTTATCACCACCTTTTACATTCCTTTAAGCTTGGCTTAAAGACGGTTTTTAGGTGCTTAATGATGGCTTAATGGTCATCTAAGCACCTTTAAGCTATCTTTAAGTAATATATATACCAACATTAAGTTACCATTAAGCCATCTCAAAGTCCTTATCGAAATTAAGTTAATTAAGGACCCTCTCTACACCATTGCAAAATGTTTTTTTTTGGATATCGAGAAAATTATATTGAATAAAGTTGTAAATATTGAGCTTATATATCTAATTTTCAATATATGGTACATGGCATTTACCCCCAGGAAAAATGTTCAAACACAACACAGTATCATGCAGTGAACAGAAATCACTGTTGTTTAATTACTTCATTGGAGAAAATACATGTAAATTACATGTTCAATTAATTTATCTTGGCCTTTTGAAATGTTAAGAATACTTGCATTGATAACAAATTGAATAATATACTGTAAATTTTTATCTATTGCAATTTAGATTTAATGGCAGATCACTCTAACTGCAGAAAAATACCATAGAATCTAGCCCCGGGATTATGAAACATCTTAAGCTTAGGTCAAAATGTTCATGTTGTACTAAAATTTGATTACCTGGTAAGTCAAGCAGACAAAAATCAAAATATTTGTCAATATTGCTTCACAAAAGTGTTGTTACCTGCAAATTTAGAGATCATTCATTCAATAATTAATAAAACATTTTACAGGCGATTAAAAATTTGACTTAAGTCTAAGTCTGTTTCATGATCCTGGGTTCCAAAAAATGTAATGATTTGTTTTCCAACTTGTGCATCGTACTTGTGAATTAAACAAAGTAAAATTATATTTAACATTTTCCTGCAAATAATTGGACAATAATCAATTTTTTTTTACTTGATTAATTCCTATGGTGGAGTATTTTATTTGATAACACCTTAAAATGATACATGTACCATGATTACAAAAATTGCACCATTCGATCATTGAAAGTATAAAATATGGTCCTTATACAACGAAAATCTTAGATAATATTCAATAAAATGTTGGTGTTGCCTTAGATAAATAAAATTGGCATCAAATAATTCCTTGTTGGATTTACAGTCAGATTATTCTCCCTAATTCTGCAAAATCTACAGTTAGTGATGATCAGTTTGGTGAGTTCTGTCTCCATGGTCAGTCTGTATTGTTGATTCACATCAGAAAAATATGTCTCTTTTTCCATAAAAGTGTTACACAACCTTTAAGGAATGAAGCTTATTTTAACCTATGTTATACGATATAACATAACTTGGGGCAGTTTACGCTTTATAAACCGAAAAGTTATGTTATATCGTATAACATAGGTTAAGATAAGCTTCATTCCTTATACTTTAATTTCAGTGTAGACAATAAGACAATTTTTCCTCCAAAAATGGTTTCAAATTGAGCATATTTTAAAAGTAACATCAAGCCGAGTAATACGTTTTTGACGTAACTCATTGTGACGTAGGCAACTTACGTTATACGATATAAACGAAATCTTTCATCCTATCAAATGTTGTGTTACAACTAGAATTAAATTATTTGTAAATAACAGAACGATGTAACAGGTATGTAATGGACAAGTTGATTATCACTTTTCACTTGCTGGTATCTTCACAACATATTGATACGTGTGTCAATGAAAAATTATTTGATAAGAAAGTTTACATAAATATTGAATTCCTCTTGATGGGAGCTAGTATCCTTTGTCAGTTTCTTTCACATCAGTACAATTTTGCTCTTCCAAAAGCTAAATTTATTTGAGGTGTATTTCTTCTCAATTTAAACATAATTCTATTAAGACCTTTTACATGATTTGAGAATTTAATATTGACTTCCAAATCTACAAAATTGTATTAGTAAAAACTTTTTGTTTTTTAAGAGTCCTGGGTACAGATAAAGATATCTTAACATTTAAAATATTTTCAAATAAGACTAAATTATCTTAGACTGGGACATCTATCCATGATTAATGGGGCATGAAAAAAAATATTTCAAAGCTCATTGTTCATTATAATCATGTAAAACAGCTGTACAGGTATATAATAATAACAAACAAATTCAAAGACAATATAAGATCAACACAGCCCCACTCTGGAACCTGGGCTCTTTTCTAGAGGTTTCTTTATTACAGATTTACAATGGTGGATGTCAAGTTGTAAAGATTTCAAGATAATATGCATTTTCATGTAATTTATTATCAATTTAGCCCAACAAGTAGGCACAATTTTAGTAGCGGCCTAAAACTTTGTTAATGCACACAGTTTGACTCTGATATGACTGAAATTGAGATGATTCTTAAAGACATAATACAATTTTTATTTTAAGACCAACTTTTCACCATTTATAGGCCTGGATTCAAAGGGGTTATTTATAGAGTAATCATAGCTTCTTCTACTCATGCAAACATTTCAATTGTTAAGAAGAAAAAAATACTTTCAAAGAGTTACTGTATACAGAGTTATTTTCAACTCATGTTATTTTTGCTCTTTCTCACTTTCAAACAATTTTGCCCCCTTTTAAATTCCCCCAGTAACAGTTCATTTATACTGTGCTCTTTGAATTCACCCTGTTTTAAATTCACCCATCTGTGAGTTGGGTGAAAAAAGGGGGTGAAAATACTCATGTATACAGTATTTTTTTAGTTTGTTACAAACTTATAGTTCCACCTTCAGGCCTACACCCAAGGGATCATGAATATAACAAATGAATATAGGGATAATTGCTCATCATTAACATGCAGAAGAATATTTGATTATATAAAATATTATATTAATTGTCAATACATATATTGTTTCAGACATTTCTGAGATGTAAATATTCATATGTTTATGCACACAGACAAGAAAACATAGCAACAGTCTACCTGAGCAACTCAGGACACCTAACACTCAATAGTCTTATTGCACTATAAACAACATAACGTCACAGTCACAGGACTACATGATGAGGTGGAAAATGTCAGTTCTTTTTGTATTCTATTCTCTCAACTTTGACATCATCTTGAACTAGCTTGTAAACATAGGCAACAACTGTTGACTGCTGGATATCCAGAATTACAAAGGATGAGGTGACATTACTGAAAAAGAATGTGAAAACATGTATGTATTATACTGGAAATATTACTAATCAAGGTAACATCTACCACTACATCACAAAAACAACATTATGATTTCTAACTTTATTACCATCAACAAGAGGCCCATAGGCCACAATACTCACCTGAGTAACCCCTTTTCTACCTGAGAAATACATGTACACAATATAATTACATGTAATTGACATATGTGTGGCCATCTATCAAACTGTGTAGTAAATATATTAAATATTAAGGCTGTCTGAAATAACCAAATTATTGCACCACATGAGTGCAAAATGGTCACTCTCTTTCTAGACCAAGTAATTCAAAATAATATATAGATTATCTTCCTCTTACCAAGGCCGTAACTACCATTGAGGCAAGTGAGGCAAATGCTTCACTAAAATTTTTTAGTTTTCTGAAAAGTGAAAAAAGTTTTATTTTGAACTTTAATTACATTGTACTTATGTGTTTCTTTGTACTAAATTAATGCTTACAACAACTGTTCAATTTTTGTTTCAATTTCTGAAAATTGATCATCTCACCAGGCATTTCATTATCCTTTAGAACGCATATAAAAATAATTCAAAATGTGAAAACTTTCAAAGAATGTTCTTTAATTTACTAAAACCCAGGTTTTGGAACCCCCTTTTCTTGAGAACCCCCATCAGGACTCTATCCTGGACCCGCTTTGGACTTGGGTGGCCCCAGATCCCTTGCCTCACTAAAAATTTGAGTCTAGTTACGGCCTTGCTTACCATATTAAGGACATACGCAACGTAGTTTGAACTTTATTGTCTTTTTCCCTGGAGTTGAAGAGTTCCAATACTTAAAGGAATTGTGTGCTACATTTTAATGTCTATATTTGCTGTTGTACACTTCTTCTAAAACAAGTTTGGATAAACAAAACATCTAGAATATATGCTTAGTAATTTTTTTGTATTTTTCTTTGAATTAAACAAGAATTTTCATCAGTTGATATCTTTTCAATACCCCTGGTAATGCATGCTGACTTTTTGTCTACGAACATCTGATGACACTATAATCTTAAATTAAGAAAATCTTGAAAAATTATCAGTAGGTAAGGTACGTTGCGTATGTCCTTAATATGAACTATGTATATAACAAACTCAAAACAAATAACATCACATTAGAGTGTTGACAGATGGACAGTAAGATCACCGTAGGGCATTTGCATGTTAATGCACACCACATTTAAATAAAATATACTTTGAGCAGAAAGATTACAATTTGTAGTTCATCAATGTTAATTTTATATAAGTATTAAATTTCATCCTGAAAAAAAAAAATAATCAAACTACAAATTCTATGTCAAAGATACCTGTCTAGAGGATTATAAGCTCCTGTTGCTGATCCAGGATTGATGTAAAATTTGTTTTCATGCTCAAAAGCTTCAAATTTATGTGTGTGTCCCGAAATAAGGATATCCACATCCAACTGCCGTTGAACCAATGCAAGACTCTCGGTATCACCCCAAGGGACCATCTGATGTCCATGACATAGTCCTATCCTAAACTGTCCTACTGTAACTACTTTCTGCTCAGGATAGTTCAGATTCTAAAAGAGTTGTGAAATAATCGTTATTAACGGCACTAACCTTTGAGTGATCATGATTTCTTCTGTAAAATTTCATATTCTAAATTCTCAATCAGTATACGATTGAAGCAAAATACCTCATCAAAATCTCCTCTGACAACATGAACATCACTTGCAAGGGTTTTCAAGTAATCAAAAGTCTCTTTTGTACATAGGTTTCCAGTGCATAATATATGCTGAATTTTTCCGGGTACAAGTAACTTCTTAAACTTTGCTGGGAGGCTGTTACAGCGATGAGGAATGTGAAGATCACCAAGTACTAAGACCAGCTAAAAGAATCATTCGTAACATATTCAAAATAAGACTTGTTATTAAAATCCAAAGGTTCAACTTCGTGTCTTGTGACACCCCTTTTGCATTTTTCATCTTCGACAACAACACCGAAAATCTTGCGAATAAATATAATGTACCTGTTAATGAAGTTTTTTTTGTACAATTTAATACTACGGAATTATTTTTAAATACGGAAGAGATACAATTTACACATTATGCAAAAAATATTACCATCTTTACTGGAAGATCGAAGAAGCTTTCACTTCGTCAAAGTCAGACAAATGTTTAGTTCGGGTAAAGGCTAAATGCCGGAATAGTCCAGTCATTTCATAAAATTTTCTGTCAAAATGGGGGAAAAATGCAAAAGTCTCAAAACTTAATTTTTATCAATCTATAAGATGATATTAATAAACAATGAAAAAGATTTTTAAAAAATCATGCATGGAAATAAAAATATTGAGATGTATTGCATTCTTCAATCGTAACTACTCGGCCATTTCCATGAACGATAATTCTCTCTCGGAAAATGGCCGAGTAGTTACGAATGTTGCATTCTTTTAGACTGGTAATGTTACCAACGAAATGTTGAGAGTAGCACAAATTTATATGAACCCTTGTATTCTGAAATTGTTTAACAAAGTTTTTACCTCTGGAATTTACCCCAAAAAATGGGTAGAAGGTTATATAACACCTATTTTTAAATCAGAAAATCCTCAATTACCCAGAAATTATAGAGGCATAACCATTACTAACAGTATTGGAAAACTTTTCAATATAATACGTAACAATAGATTGGATAACTTTTTATCTGAAAATAACATAATACATGAAAGCCAGATAGGATTTTCAAAAAAAGCTAGAACTTCTGATCATTTATTTGTAATGAAGTGTTTGATTGACAAATATTTACATTTCCAATGTCTTTGTCCGAGATAAAATTTCAAATAGTAAAAATACTTTAATTCTACATAAATCTACTGGTTCATCGATAGGCGTGGTGAAAAAAAATCACGTGCGGGGCGGGACAAATAGAGACAGAAGCGGGACTTGTAGCTCGTGAATTTGCAGAATCAAGAGCATGTAAATATAAGGAATAACTGTCAGATTTTTTGATTTCATGACGATGATCAATCGATTGGCTTGCGTGATAATTTTATGCATAAACGCCTTCGGCGTTTATGCAAATTATCACGCAAGCCAATCGATTGATCACATCATGAAACCAAAAAATTTGACAGTTATTCCTTAAATATACCAACAAAGGTAGTAAACGTCTATATGCTTGCTTTGTAGACTTCCACAAAGCATTTGATACAATAATACATGAAGGCATAAAACTTAAACTCCTTCAATTGAATATTAATGGACTATTCTACAAAATAATATGCAGTATGTACAAATATAGTTATATCTCCATTAAAATTGATAATAAATTGACCCAGCCTTTCTCACCCGAACTAGGAGTAAGACAAGGCGATGTCTTAAGCCCAAATATATTTAAAATATTCATAAATGATCTTTCAAATTTACTTAATAAAGACATTGTTAACTCAGTCTCACTTTTCAACAAGCAAATAGGAGCTTTATTATATGCAGATGATTTAGTATTATTATCTGACAACCAGCTATCTCTGCAACAAAAACTTGATATGCTATACAAATATTGTAAAGAATGGTGTTTGGAAATCAATGTTAACAAGACAAAAATCATTATTTTCAACAGAAGTGGGCATTTAATAAAAGAAAAGTTTTCAATTAATGGTATTAATATAGAATGTGTTAAAACACATAAATACTTAGGTATAATACTCTCAAATTCTGGTTCTTTCAAAGAGGCAAGGTCTCATCTGTATAACAAAGCTTTAAAGTCATCGTTTAAAATATACAAAGATATAAAATCAACAGATCCACCCATTAAAACTTTACTTCATCTATTTGATCATATGATCAAACCTATAGCTACCTATGGGTCAGAAATATGGGGTGTATTGTCAACATCAATGCAAAGAAAAGATAAATGCCTATATGAAACATTTAAAGATTGGGAGATTGAAAATCTTCATATGAAATTTTGTAAATTTATCATTGGATCAGGGAAAAAAAGTACCAATATTGCAGTTCTATCAGAGCTGGGTAGACAACCAATTTTTTATTCTATTATTATAGCAATTATCTCTTACTGGCATAGACTTGAGAACATGCCCGAGAATTCTTTGTTATACAATGCTTACAAAGAAAGTATGATCTTGGACAGTTGTAATATAAATAGTTGGTTTTCAAATGTAACATATCTATGTAAGAAAATGGGCATACTTTGGTCAAAATGTAAATCAATGAAACTAATAACTTTAAAGAAACAACTGAAAAAAATTATTAGAAAGGATTTCCTTCAATACTGGTTTATAAAAAGAGAAGAGGGCTGTCTGTCGGGTAAACTTACAACATATTTCTTTGTAAAAAGAAGTTTTGAAATTGAAAAGTATTTATTTTTAAAAAATTTTGAACAAAGAAAAATTATATGTAAATTTAGAATAAGTGCACATAATCTCAGAATTGAAAGTGGAAGATATGAAAAAAATGTAAGTTTACACAAAAGGACAGCAAACCACCCTTGCAAGAAATGAAAGGATTTGTAGAATGTGCGACATGAATTGTGTGGAAGATGAGATTCACTCACTGATTGAATGTCCATTATATAAACATGATAGACATGAATTTTTTGAGAATATTGCTAAAAATAATAAAAAATTTTATTATTTAACAAATAAAGAAAAATTTTTGTGGATTATGTCTAATGAGAATGATATATTGCTTATCAAGTTGGGTAATTTTCTAATCAATATTTTTAAAATAAGAAATAGTGAATTATATAATGTTAAAAAGAACCAAATAAATGCAAAAGAGTAATAATATTAAATTATTAATACTCTAGTACAAATATACATGTTACAAATCTTTGTACGTTTGCTAATTATATATATATATATATATATATATATATATATATATATATATATATATATATATATATATATATATATATATATATATATATATATATATATATATATATATATATATTAAAGCATTTATTATTGGTAATCCCCATCTGCTATAATCATCATCATCTTCTTTAGTTAGTTTCTTTTCTTTTCTCTTAATATCGACATGTTGTTACTATCAATTTTGAATTTCTTCTTGTGTATATAATTCTTTACTTGTATGCCCTGAGGGGCCCCAAATTGGGATCAATAAATCTTATCTTATCTTATGGTATTGCCTGTCTCTATGATATCGTTCGAAAGAATATCGCGCATATCAGACAGGCAAGCCAGTCTAGCATTCTTTTTCTTTTTAAAAGTTATCTCCCTTCATGGCGTAACGTGAACATTTACCTATAAAATTTTTGGGTTGGAATTTTTTTTCACTGGAGTGGAAACCCCCCCCCCCCCCCCCGGAAAAATTTCCTGGATCCGCGCCTGAAACACCACAATTTTGCATCATATGTTGGATTAGTATGGGACAAAAAAGAAAACGTAATAAACATAAACATACATGTATAGATTTCAAGGCCGTTGGAAAGAGGGTTGGGGGGTTGATGCGTTGGTCAATGGAAGCGATTGCACATCGGTCTAGCCATGAACATCTTAGTTTGTCACAAACAGTCGAAAATATTTTCTGAAATAATTGACTGAAAAAAATCTTTTTTTACGTCATGCTCATAGGCACTCCCCAGCTTAAGGTCAAGATCTAGTAAATGAAAGGTGCCTACAGATTTTTCAAATTTGAGAAACGAGTTCTTTTAATGACCCTTTACAAATATAGCTTGGTAAAATAAGGTGTTTCGGGACATAATTTTTTGATAAACTAGACGAAAAAACATATTTCATAATTTTTAATGAAAACCGAAGAAAGTCAGGTATAAATTTCCGAGATTTTTCCATCTCAGATAAATAGCAATATTGCCTACAGTTTCTCAGAAAACGGTTTTTCGTTTCTTCTTAACCTCTACTTCAAAATGATATTAAAATTGAATATAGATATCGGGGTTACTTTTGACATGATTTCAAATTGAATAAAATCAAAATGCTTCATTTCCTACATAATTCTATTACAGCTGTAAAGTGCGGGAAAAAATAAACTTTAAATCAATTATGACGTCATAATGGATCTAGCACTAAAAAGACAGTCTAAAATCATTTACTAGATCTTGACCTTAATTGTTAAAAAAATATATATCTACTATACTATAAACATAACCTTGTTATGTTTATAGTATAGTAGATATATATTTTTTAACAATTTAAAAGCTGGGGAGTGCCTATGGTCATGCTTCTTTCTTTCAAAACGACTAACACAAGTATCGAGGATATTTTAAAAACACTCAACTAATTTCGTTGAAAATTTACCGAAACATATCATGGTTGCTTTTTGTCTTGGTTGCCATAGCAACAGAGAGTAAAATTTCAAAAAATATAATTAACCACTTACACAACAAGATTACCTCTTACATCTTGTTGACTCAAGATTATGATGTACAGAAATTTATCTTTAAATTAGCAGAGGTGCTAACTGGCTAACCACGGATACATTTTGCATATAATTAATATGCCGGAAAAGCTCAATATTCACTTATGCTAGGTCAAAAATATGACAATACTCAAAGGCCAACAGTAGAGAAACAATAAAAAAATATGACCTTATGTAAATAATTATAAGTTACAGCAACATTACTCTAATATATATATAAGTGCCATAGTTACCATGGTAACACAATGTAGCTACATACAATGAATATTGGTTATTCCAATAAGTATACACTAGATAAAATCCCGCGCAAGCGCGGGGATTACCACTACCGACAGAAAATATATTGTAGTTTCTTCCGACAGCCTACAGGCTTATAGCAGGAAGAAATACTTTGTTCAAAATCCCGCATGAAGCAGATGTACATGTACGTCTCCACCCCACCCCCCTTCTGTAAAAACTTGAAAAATTACAATTTCATTTATTGACGTTTTTCTGAAACCTGTTATACTATGTTATGGATATTGTACTTCAGATGCTCTTATTTCATTTCCGTCATGGATAAAAGCAGCGAATATGCACATTATACTGATAAATTGATTGGGGTTTTTTTTTTGGGGGGGGGGGGGGGGTAAAAATTCACAGGTACTTGGGTCTTGGTTTATAGATACATGTATGTATGTACCTCATTGATATGAAAAAAATGTACTTTACCTTTTTTTTAACATATCAATAAGGTACAAACATATATATAAACCAAGACCCAAGTACCTGTGTAAAAATTATT